TCCTTCTTCCACAAGACACACCTCTTCGGCCCTCTCAGTCACCACCTCTGTCTGGTCCAGCTCTATCAGCACCCCTTCCACACATCCGCCTTCCTCTACATCCTCCTTTTTAACGGAGGACGGCACACTCTCTTGATCTCCTTCACACCCGCATTACGATGAATCCGCTTAACAATTTTTTCGATCGCAAAATGATGATCTAAATGGGGGGATTTCGCTTTGCGATGATCGGTTCCCTGCTTCGGGAACTGATTCTTTGAAAAACATTTTTCTAACAGCTGATCGGCAGTTTCAAAATGGCTGTCCCCGCTGTGTTTAGGGACAGATTCCTCACTATACAGGCAGCGAAAATGGGCGCCATATGGAGGATCTTTGCTGGACAGTTGAGTTGTTACCCCATAGAAACGCACTGAATGGGTTTCAATGCGTTTCAATGGGTTTTTTAATTTCACTTTACGATGTTTTCGCTTAACGGTGATTTTCCTGGAACGGATTATCGTTAAGCGAGGCACCACTGTATACACAAAAAGATATATATATATAAAACGGAAGGTAATGGAAGACTTTCATTTAGTTAACAGTTTTCAAGACAAAGAATAGGCATTTTAGGCAAAAGTAGAAGTGGCAAACTAATGCTAACTCTGCAAATATATATGTATTTGCAAAGTTAGCATTACTTTACCACTTCTATTTTTGCCTAAAGTGCCTATTCTTTGTCTTGAAAACTGTTAACAAAAGTCTTCCATTACCTTATTTACTTCCTGGGGATTCCTGCCTTCTGTTTTGATTATTAGACAGATCTCTACTGTACTTTAACAAGCACAATGGTTAGGGGCTATTTATGCATCAGAGCACAGGGTCTTAACTTGTGGTCTGCAGACCTCGGGTGGGGGCATGATGTCCTCACTGGTGAGCTGTGATGGCTTGAAGAAACCTTTTGATCTTTTTCTATTAAGAAAGAAAACAGAAGTGTTTGATATTTCAGCACATGGTGAGAACATGCAAGTGAATGACGCTGAGTGGCTGACGAGAGCAGATGACATTTCTTGCTACTGTGCATACAGACATACAGAAACCAGAGGAAGAGACAGTTGGAGTCAGTCAGTATGAGTGTTCGGACAGACTGCAAGATCTCTTGCTACTGTGCATACAGACATACAGAAGCCAGAGGAAGAGACAGTTGGAGTCAGTATGAGTGTTCGGACAGACTGCACAATCGTGTTCCTTCCTTGATTTCTGCTAATAAAACCATTTGGTTATTCTTCGGTAAATTGACTTAAATATCATTGCAGTGAATTTCCTAACAACACATTTTGGCTGGGCTTCAGAATGGGTCACTAGCTGAATTTCAAACATAAAAGAATTGATGCTGTTGCTGAGGATGCATCCTGTTCAAAGCAAAATGAAGCTTCTTCCAGTCATCTTAAAAAGCGTCACTGTTATAAGGAATTTCTGTCGATGAGACCCTTCATGAGAAACTTTAAAAAACATTTGATGCACTTTAGGATTTTAAGTCCTGAGTTAAGTCTTGGTGGTCCACAGTAACAAAATGCGTTAAAGGGGGTCCATGGTAAAGAAAAGGTTAGGAAGCATTGCACCAGATAATTGCAGCTCCGTGGTTCTACCATGCCCAACCAGTGCCTAACCAGCAAGACTGCACAGTCTGTAATATCCTGTAACCACCATCAACAAAGTTAATTGATGCCTGAAGACTTCCTTGTTCAATTAACATATTTTTAGACAAAAAGTGGCAAGCTCTCTTTTAATAGCTAAATAGGTTAACTCTGCATTGTCACAGAGCTGTTTAAGAAACAAACCTTACTAAAACCTTTAATAAAATTAAGGAGACTATTAAAGGCTTAGAATATATTTTAAGAATTTTAAAAATTGCAGCAACTTAATCACTTTAGTCTATGGGAATTACTACTGCAGCTATTTTTTTTTAAAAAAAAACAAATATCTAAAAGCAATTAGGCCCCTTTGGTGACACGCCCTTACAGTCCGCAGAAAGCCTTTCAGGTTTGCCCACCTCTGGTCTCTGTGAAAACATGAAACCTAAATTGAGTTAAAGATTGCAATATCAGTAACCGGGTTAATTATGCCTCAAGAATGAAAAAAAAAGTATTTTAAAATTTTCATTTATTAGAACACTTAGCCAGAGAGGCTTACTATTCAGAAAATAGAAACATTTAATTTTTTTAAAAGGCCACAGGGTAAACCTGAGGCAAAATATCACATGGGCAACTTGTGATACATTTGGCATTAGAACACATACCCCTATAGGTTTAACAGTAGGCTTTTACGCCCCCTTTTAAAAAAGGAAATATCCAGCTTCAGCAGGAGAGAGCGGTACGGTGCGCTTGGCCACAGTTCCTGCACTGGTCGAGGTATGGAGAATCCACCCAAGGCATGCTACCGGCTCTGTTCAACTGCAAGAGACAAGACAACTGATCAATAGACATCCCCAGCAAGACCACGTTGTGGCAAATGAATGACTGCTGCCTTTTGCTAAACAGGGCTCTGGCTTACCAGTTCTCAGAAACTAAGGTTCTTCAAGGCAGTTCAACAGGTGCTGCCTTTTACATATTCTCCCTCTCTCTGACCTGGTTGGTGAGGAAGAGCCCTCATGGCAGCAGCTACTCCGAGTCTGCCTGGCAGCCTTTTTTACAGGCACTCTGACAGCCTTCCCTGTCTCAACAGCCTCATCACTGCTGTGAAACTCAGAACAGAACTGAGCTAGAAGGGCAAAGAAAACTGTTCAGTATGATTCCCTAGAAGGAAGATTTTATCAAGCAGACCCGTGTTTTAAATTAAGAAAAACCTGTCTTACCTTTCCAAGAGAACATGGGAAAGATTTTACCATCAGCCTCTAACATTCCAAGGCAGGCAAAAGAAATCTGCTTTCCAGCCCCACAAAACAAGTGCTAACCCAAAGGCCTTGCAGTTTATACACTGATCAGGTTGGCTCAAAAGGCTGCTTCGCAAAAAGCAACCATGTTGTCCCCACTCTCTGTAACTCTGCTGCACACACGAGCAGAAGCTATGAGAGTACTCTTAGTAAGGTGATGCCGATTTTAATTCTACTTCTGAGGAGCATATACAAGGACTGCAGCAAATGTGAAGATAAGCCAACCCAACTCTGCTTCCAATACGTACTATATGTGGAGATATCTATCTCTTCGGGGAGCTCAGCCACATTGACCTCAAAGCGATCCTGCACTTCATTGAGAATTTTGGCATCCCCTTCATCCGAGACAAAAGTAATGGCTAAACCTTTTGTGCCAAAGCGTCCGGCTCGGGCCACCTGGAATCAAGGAGAAGTTTAAAGTTTCTTGTGCCTTGGAGTCCAGATTTCCAAAAGTATCACCTTAAAGGAAAGGGAAGGAGTAATCTGTTCAACCAACACTGAATAAAATATTCATAATAATTGTGAGACAACTGCATGTTGCAGGAGGTTCAGAAAATGTACAGGCAGGTGTCCTGTTCTTACAGCTTAGAAATTACATAAAATAGCATTGTGTAGAGTATTGAAGAAACACTTTCAACTTCCAAAGTTAAAAAAAAAAAAAACAGAAAAAGACTCAGCTGGCAGCATTGCCTGTTCCTTGTGCTTTTGGCAAGGAAGTAGTATCAAAGCAAGCACTTCCCAGGAAATCTGTGATTCCTTCCCACCCACACACCCCTCGCTCCCCAACTTACCCTGTGCAAATAGGTATCAGAATCTTCAGGCATATCATAGTTAAAGACTATGTTGACCCGTTCTATGTCCATCCCACGGCCAAACAGATTAGTGGCCACTAAAATCCGGCGCTGAAAATCCTTGAATTGCTGGTATCTTGACAGCCTATCATAAAAAAGGATGTGATCAGTGCTCATCTGTGTACAATACACAGCTGCTAATCCTCAAGGCATCTCAACACTTACGTTCATCACCACCTCCCATCCTGAAAAAAACAGTTGTGTTTGATATTTTCTTTACTACTGCCTCTCCTGTCCCAGGCACTTTGCTGAACTCACCTTTCCTCCTGGGACATGCCCCTGTGAATTGCAATCGCTGGAAAGTTCTGTTCAACCAGAAGCTGAGCTAATGCCATGCAGCGCTGCACTGACTTCACAAATATCACAACCTGTAAAAGCATAGGGAAAGGAAGCACGGGCTTAATTTGGAAACGCTTAGGGATTCCCATTGGCCTTCTAGTCCCCTGTCCTGTGACCTTGATAAGCCTCCTGTCCTCAAGATCAGGGGCCCCTTGTGCCAGCCCTCAGCTATGCAGACCTGATTGAATTCCAATACATCCAGTAGGTCAAAGAGCTTGCGGTTTTTCTCTGTGTCTTTCAGCTTCACATAATATTGCTGGAGGCCATGCAGAGTCAGCTTGGTCTCGTCATCCACAAAGACTTCCATGGGCTGCAAGCAAGTGAAGGAAGACAATGTGACCTTTTACCATGAATGACAGTTAATTCTCCAAATACATATAAGTCGTGTTTTAAAGTCACTTGGTTTTTTTCCCAATTAAGAATTGCAAATTCCCACAGCAACAGGCATTACTTTGACTATGACAGTGAATGCTAGAGGCTGATAGCAAAACTATTTCATCTGTAGGATGATAGATGAAATCTCCATATGCTGAAGAACTCCTTCTGCCAAACATGGTAGAAAGAATTCCCACTACTGTTAATTATCTATAAAATTGATTTAAGTGCCTGGCAGCAAAGAAAACTAACTTCATTGGTAGTTATCACACACTTCATCAAGATCCTGAAGTAAACAATCTCTGATCCACAGGAGATATAATGAAAGACAAGCTAGGCGTTACATCTTGGCTAAAACTATGTACATTCTGTATGTCTTTCAGTATTACCCTAGACTATTAACCCATTTGTTTCTGTTCCTGAACAGAAACACAGAGGAATTATAACAGAAATATCTGGATGTCCCGGATAACCCAGATAGTGTGGTTGCTGACCTTGAGCCAGATATCCTGGAGAGTGAAGTCAAGTGGGCCTTAGAAAGCATGGCTAACAACAAGGCCAGTGGAGGTGATGACATTCCAGTTGAACTATTTAAAATCTTAAAAGATGACGCTGTTAAGGTGCTACACTCAATATGCCAGCAAGTTTGGAAAACTCAGCAGTGGCCAGAGGACCGGAAAAGATCAGTTTTCATCCCAAATCCCAAAGAAGGGCAGTGCCAAAGAATGCTCCAACTACCGTACAATTGCACTCATTACACATGCTAGCAAGGTCATGCTCAAAATCCTGCAAGGTAGGCTTCAGCAGTCTGTGGACCGAGAACTCCCAGAAGTACAAGATGGATTTTGAAGGGGCAGAGGAACTAGAGACCAAATTGTTAGCATGTGCTGGATTATGGAGAAAGCCAGAGAGTTCCAGAAAAAACATCTACTTCTGCTTCATTGACTATGCAAAAGCCTTTGACTGTGTGGACCACAGCAAACTATGGCAAGTCCTTAAAGAAATGGAAGTGCCTGACCACTTTATCTGTCTCCTGAGAAATCTATATGTGGGACAAGAAGCAACAGTTAGAACTGGACATGGAAGAACTGATTGGTTCAAAATTGGGAAAGGAGTACGACAAGGCT